AAAAAAACAAAACGTGTGGTTAGAAATTGCTTCGACCGCTATCGGAGTTTCTTTTCTTCTATAAATTATTCACTTATAATAACACAAATAATTCAAAGTTTTAAAAATTGCCTCTTCTTACAGGGCCCAACATTCCAATCACTATTGATTTGTCTTCCTATCGGTAACCGTTGTAACGTATGCAATATTTATTAAGTGTACTGTCGACGTGGCTATTGGAAAACATGAGACTGATATGCATTTTTTTACCTTTTGGTAAGATTATTTATTTCTGAATTGTTTTCGACTTGACGTTTCGCAAAACCGAAAAACGAAATTCAAATCGGAACATCTGCAACAAATATAGGTTATTTGAGCAGCAGGGATGGACTGGGCAATGACACGGCTGTCAGAGGAGGCCACAGTTCGTCAATAAATTCAAGAGATGGCACGCGGCTTAATTGCCAATGTGGCTGATGTCAACGTCGCAGAGACATTCCAACATCTGTAATAAGCTGTGTCCCGTTAATGAAAACGATAACTAGACTACAGCAACCAAATTTGGTTTTCCATAAACGGAGAGTGAGTGCAACAATTCTGGATCAGCAAAAGTTTGGGATGACTTGATTAAATAAGATTCTCTTCTAGAATTGTCAAGCCTTCATTTTTCATTCCATATTTGTTTTTATTTATTTATTTATTTATATAGATACATTTGTCTGCGACAAGTTTCGGGAACATTAACAACAATGCAGTTTTGTGGCATTTCCGGTCGTTTTGTAACTATTTTCTGATTTCCTCCGATATGAGATCAATGTGTACAATTTCCCTTCAGCATTCTAAACTTTCCTGTAAAGTAACGATCCATAATATTCCCTCCACAATTGCTATAATTCGTCTTGCATGACACAGTTCCGGGCAGTCGATATTCGTTATGAAGTAAGCGGTATGCAGCGTACTGGAAACACCATGAAATTATGATCTTACCAGATCCGTTTGCAAAAGCCAACCATTTTTCCCGTTTTCAAAGAGCTAAAAAAATGCTTGGGACGGATCCCGCGATGCTGTCACTAATCTAAATGCCCCCAAAAAATGCCTGTACGCGGCGGTCCGGTGATAATGATTCTGATGCGCCAAAAGCGATCTGCAACTGTCCTGAAAACAGTACCCCCCCCAAAAAAATATTCAGTTCCCCTGAAACCGAGTCTGCGTGAAACTATATGGCGTCGGGGGGGGGGACTTGATTGAAATAGTGCCACTCAGTCACTAAATTCCAAATTTGAGCTGGTGTAGAGCCGTTCGTATGATCAACGATTTAGAACCGTCACACTCGTGTGCATGCCACTACCGGTGGTGACATAGTTTTAGTGCACTGCTGCTTTTTGAAATTTGACCCCACCGACCCAACCTGTCACTGACTTTAACTACTGATGACGAACAATACGGTTGCAACGTTGTCACTTACGCAAGCATTGAATTAAACGACATAACAATTGGGGAAAATAAACAGCACTAAATTACCCCCAGTGATCAAGGTTCTTTGGAGAGCACGCAAGCTATACTGCTAACAGTAATTAATGCAATTTTATTCCAAGTGCATTAATAAATTAATGAAAGGCATAATGAGGCGACATCGGAGGTGTTAGCAATGAATACAAATTTCAAAGCCTCTGGGAGGGAGGACATAACTACAGTGCCCGCATGTGTGGGTTAGAAACGATCAATTGTCTGCCATCTGAAAAACCGGAATTGTTGGATAACTTGATAGGGAAATTGATATTGACTGGGAGGGTTTGGCTACACCTAAATGAGATCAGAATGGGCTCTGTAGTCATGCGATGCCCTTAAAATTGGAACACATTTTGGCATGCTTGGCAGACAACAGAATTTAAGATGCAATAAAAATGGTAGCAAGGAAATGCCAATGTCGTACACAGAGGAAAAAAAAGATTGAATAAGAAGGACTGATTTCAAGAATTCCTCTTCCTTCAATAGACGGCAGGGAATGTGTTTAAACGTGAGAGTGGCCCATTCGCGAGAGCTGATAGTGATAAACAAATTTTCCTTGCGTGAACTATTTCGAAAATGAAAAGGGAAAGTGTGATTCAATGCCTGTTATAAGTTGATAGGGAAACAGCGACCCATAGAAATTAGGCGGGGAAAATGTCTGTGGAAGAAGTCCAAGGGCAAATTAATAAAGCCATTTTTTTTCCAAAACTTTATCAGATCTTATTCAAATGCTGTTAAAAATACACGTCAGAACCACTTACGACTGTAAACTTTGCTTTTAACAGCACTGCCTTTCTGTGAATTCATTATCTGATTTCAAACAGCGCAGGCATTGCTCTTTTTTGCCCAGTCGTCTTGTCTGGTTAGTCTGGTTTCGTTTAACCTTTTGCAAGCAGTAGAATTGGGCAAACGGTTGATCACGTTGCGGTTTGGGTTGAAAGTACCGCCAGCTGGCTATACAGACCTAATTCAGGAAAAGGCCATTTTGATCATGTTTTCTGCTCTGATCTTATGCAATTTAAATGTGTCAAATGGTTTTATGCCAGAACATTAAGAGATTCTAGATCTAAATGTTGCCTCTAAAATTTAGATTATGATAAATCACACATTTCAATTATTCATCATTGTAAATGAAATTAATCTGTAACAAACCTGTGTTAATTACTTTCAGTTTTAGTTTTAATTAATCATTAATTACTCAGCTCAAATGGCTGATTTCTGATTAAAATCAATTATCATGGAAACATCAGTTGGTCACCTCCCCCCCTTTTCTTTTAAATTCCCGCCCTTAGAAGATTATCAGCGAAGAAGTTATAGCTAGCTCCCCACAGATTCGGCCGATAGCGCAGCGCGAACTACCGCTTGCGCATATCCACCGAATCAATCTGCCCACAATATCAAGAGCCTGTGATGAATATCTTCAGAGTGGCGCAGTCTGACAATGACCTTGAGCAAAATGCCAATTTCAGAACGAGTTCACTTAGGCGTGAAATTAAACAGAGCAATGGATGGTTTAAAGATTTCATTTTTGTTTTAATTTTATTTTTTTTTCTTTCCTTTACCTTGAAACATAAATTTCTGGGAAACAGCTTGAAGCTATGGAAAAGCATCGGAGATTGGATTTCAGAAATGTAAAAACGTGACAACTAAGCCACGGGGGGACCTTAGAAAAGCATTGCATCCTGAAGCATTGCTGTGCTCCGACTGCTTAGCAACCCCGGCGCTTCTTATTCACGAAGACAGGATCACACACCTTCGCATTGGGTGGCAAAGATAGGCCAGTTTAAACAAGTCAGTGTCAGAGCCCTGCTGGCATGGTGCAAACGTGCCGGCAGTGCTGTAAAGGAGTTCATCAAACGTCCTTCTACATGACAAGTCGTAACTAACATGAACGACGACAGATATATATATTTTTTTCAAACAGTTGTTTCTTGTGAGAAATTTGGTTAAAACTGGATGACAATTGTCAAAAACTAACAGGTCTTGCAGGCACATTTGACAGACTCGGCCACAGTGTCCGCCATAATTGTTTCGGTCATGCAAGAAGCCAATGGGTTAATCGTGAGGTAGTAAGTAAAAAACGTTAGTTTAAATTTTTAAAAAGCTGTTCTCAAGCATATTGACAAAGTTCGTTAGATTAGTACATACATGAACACGCAAAAGCTGCATTAGTGACATCCAGTCGTAAGTCAGTAAACGATTTATTAGCAGAACGAATAATGCATTTGAAAATAATCGAGTGATGTTAGCCGTTAGTGAGGTGGTTTGTGAGTGGCAGTGGTGCGCAGGACAAATCGCAGTTCAGTTCCAATGGCGGATCCAGTGCCGATTCGGTTGCTTAACGATGGGACTCCAACTCTGGGCAAAGCATGCGTACAGAGAATGCAGTGTGCATATGCAGCCATTAGCCATGCTGAAGCATGGAGGACACAATAGGAAGGCGCCACTTGAAGCGAATACATTTGGAGTGAATACGAAAGATTTGATTTTTGGCCAGACCAAACAGCGCCCCCCATTGTGTCCGCCGTACCTCAAATAAGCTAATGAACGGACTTGTCATCCCATCGCTGCAGTTTTCATAATGCCATTGCACAGTTGTGCCATGATCTAAGACCCAAGCCAGGGAGTGTGCAAAACTGCAGGGAAGACCCTGAACCCGCCATTGGAGACTCGATTCCACCCCATACCTATGACTGTCGTGATCGCCTTCCGGCATTCGCCCACGTACCAGCCGGGCATACTCGTGTTTGTCTGCAGCATCTTGGCCAAACACTTCACAGTCAGGTGGTCCTCTGGCACAGTTGCAGTGCCGATCACCCACTCGGAGGACACTGACGAACAGAGAAACGGACCGGTTTTATCTTATTATAGGCCTGGTGGAGTTGGAGGGACAACCCCCATTAAGATGCTCAAGTTATCTGTGCGAGCTCAACTGGAACTCACATCGATAATATAGCAGACATTGATATAGGCTTACATCTCATGCCCACCTCTGCACGAGAAATTTTTCATCGCGGCAAAAATACAGTCTTCTTCTTTACTTACCACAACTCGAAACTGTAAAATGGTCCACATTTCTAAATTAGTGTTTAAATTTTACTCTTAGTCCTGTATGCCTAGTTTGCGTAATACCAAGGGCACGAGGATTACCTGGTGTACTTTACTTAGTGTTTGACGCTGACAATGAAATAAACCTCGAAACAAACCTCGGTGATGCTTAAAACTACGCTAAAACAATCTTAGAATGTCTTATCCCCTTCAAGCAACATATGGATGATTATATGTCAAGTTGCCTGTCCGTTATATCTATTTCTAGGGCTCACTTTGAAGCACTTGGTAGAATAGCGACCAGGAGTCATTTGCACGGTCGGTTCTTCGCGCCAACGGAGACCTCTATAACGTCAGCGAGTCGACATAGGGACACACAAGGTGGGAAGAGCCCCAAAATAAACGCATACAGCTAGCAAGACACCCACGGATATCGCAGTTATTCTCCATCTACCATACCATACCTAGGGACGTAGTCATCGCGTTCATGCAGCGCACCATGGCTAAGCTGGGCCGTTTGGGTTTGGACTGGGCCACTATCCGAGCGCATTCGGCGGAGCGCCGGCCCATCGGGTACGAGGTGGTGCCGATAATCACGGAATCTGTGGCTGTCCCGGGTAAGACTGACGGTCAGTGGAGACAAGACAGAACGAGAGACAGTTTCAAACCGATTGTCAATAAAGCACAGGCGGCCTTGGCCCGCGGATCAAGAAACCAAGCGATGACGAACTGACCTCGGTGAGAAACAAAACAGACTTAAAGATAAATTAAAACAAATATTTAGGTCATCCTCTGTGTAAGTGCCATCATTTCTTCTATGGTCATTTCAGTGGCAAATTTATGCCTGCTAGAGACATCCTATAGGAGAGTGTGCTGTGTTTCTGTATAAACGAATGAGCTCACAAACTCAGTAACGTCAAAGTGGGCTTTTTGTTGCCGACCCCGTTTATTGCATAATGCCAATATATACACAAATTTAGCAGAAATCGTCCGATAGCGGGCTAACCTTTTTCCTTAAGCAATTATCGCAACGGAAAAGCATCGATGATACCTTCAAAGATACAAAAAAATAGCTGGAGAATGTTTGTCTCGTGTAGAACAGTCGGAAATCAGCAAAAGGTTTGTCAGTGAAGTTTGCATACCCCGGACACATGCTGCTACTCAGTCGCCTGTTGTTGTTGTTTGTGAAACCAAAGTGCTCACGTGTTCATAAAATAAGGCGGGGGGGGAGCATTCTTTGGGATGACATCTCCCGAAGGTGTACGCTGTCCTTTATAGTTTGAACCGCCCGATGTAGACCTATATAACGACACCCGTATACCACGCGGTGAGCAAAAACTGTTGAAGAGACTATTGCCGGTTTAACTGAGCAGCTGAGCGCACGGCGGTGTTAGCGTTACGGGGGGAAAAGGGATGTGTCTTGACAAGTTCAGGGTTCGTTTCCATTGAGCGGTAACGAGGGAACATTGCCTATAGTACAGTGGCGTTAATCCCCGAGAGCGTGGAGGAATTAACCTCTTTTGACAATTAACTTGTTGACAATGGGGACTTGGCTATTAGATCATCCCCACACTCTGTAGTGGTGAGAAAGTTCTAAAGGGCGGATTTTTGAGATATTTTTTCCTACTTGTAAACAATCAAAAGTGTATCCAGGAGTACCTAAAAAGAGATAAACGTGCACGTTTTATACGTAGTTCTGATGAAACAGCGTGAACAGCGACCCCTATAGTATCATGTGGTGTCCAACGATCCCCCCTCCGCTTAGCCAAATATGAAGCTTTTTCTTTCAGCAGCACAACATTTGGGTTCGTCTGCAGCATGCCAAACTGAGCTATACAGAAAACCAGACAGCCCACTGAACTCTTTCTAATACAAACAAAACAGAGACTAAAGGGGATGGCTCTAAGACTCATTTTGCAGGATCCAGTCACACATTGCTCAGCAGCGTTTCCTGGCTTAACAGCCTGCATGCATTCGGCTCCAGCAATGCCACAAGACCACATCAAGGCCGTGCGAGCTTCAAACACTGCGCATGACACTACGCTTTGTCACACCGACCTGCACTTGAGATCATGATACCGTACCCAAAGTAGTCTTGCTCGCGTTGATGCACCGTCCCATGAACCAGCCTGGCCGGGCGCTGTTCGGCTTGGTCAACACCCTATATAAGCATTTCAGGCTTTTTCTCCCTGTCGGAAACACGGTGGTACCGACAACAATTTTTCCACGGGGCTCCTGAGACAGTTCTTTCAGTAGAATAAACAAAAAATACACACAAGAAGTGTCACAGTAGCGTCATCGTACACCTCGCTTTGGTCCGAACAGTCTTTGCTGTGAATAGACGAAAATGTGGTAGCCATCTAAATAATATGTCATTTTGTGGCAGATGTTATTGTTAGTTATATAGAAGTGCTACGGACCAAAAGTAAGGTAAAACCTTTTAACTTCCGTTTTATTTTATCAATTTACCTCCTTAATTTATTCTCAAACACTGAAAATCAGGGATAGCACATTAATTATGAACAGCAGGTCCTGCGTATGAATGCAGTGAAATGCATGTGCAATGAAATGTCCTCATTTCGAATTCTGATGTGGAAACCAATACCAAGAAGATTCTGGCCCCGAAATCCTTCCTATGTGTTCCTGAAGCATGCCGCATTACTGACGCAAAATAAATTGCCATCTAAGACACTCTGTGGATGAAATACTACCCCCGACCGTCTTTTTTTTAAATACGGGGCCTACTTGTGGTGACTTCACGCGAGGATCTCCCTCGCTTCTCACACCTGATGGATAGCACATGGTTTCGCGGTAGGTGTTAGATTGACACCCGCATCGCCGTTACTTCGCCAGGGGGGCGAACATTACGGTTTCGTCGAAACTCCTTAGCGTTTGCGCTTCGTTTGTGACTGCACGGTAGGTGTCTGCATTGCCTTTGGGTTCCAGCGATCCATGCTTCCAAAACGTTCATACATTTTCGGAGCTTCGGGACACTCGACGCCAAAATGAAACTGTCAAGTCAGTTGTCCTGGCGGAAATATGCAGTGATCATAATTGCAACATAAAGCTCAACTCGTGACAAAACGGTTCAAAGAGAATGACATGCAAGGTCAGAACTTAATTTTATCGATGAAGACACATCTTACTCCACCCCCATTTGCCGTATGGACTTCATCCAGGTTGTTTGCCTCTGTCCTGGGAGGGCAAGGCGATCTTGTTGTGTTGGGCGACTGTATTAATAATTAAAGCGGAGACTAAACTACCGCGTGACGTGCCAGTGGGCATAGCTGCACTGATTGTACAGCTTTTCAATAAGCAAAAAGTGTTCTGCCCAAACCAGGGAGTTCTTGGATGCATCAGATAATCTTTACGATTTTTTTATATCAATGTTCAGATCAAAATTCAAATACACAACCGGGAATGAAAGTTCACGTCATGAACAAAGGTGAGGGAAAAAATGATAAGGGGACAAGGCGAAATAACGAAGAAATTGCAAAATTTCTTCACCAATCTGCCTCTGGATTAACCCCCATCAATTATTGATATATTGTTAACGGTTTCGAACCCTTCCACTATTCTCCTCCTTGTAAACATTTATTTCCTCCCCCCCCCATCGCCGACACTTATGATGGAGCGAAACAGAAATCTTTTTATCGCGCTTTTTTAAGGAAAACGTTCCTTTTATGTGCTTCTTGTCCATCACAAACAAGCAGGTCATTGAGTGATCCGGTTAATTTTCAGAACATTTCATGGCTTGTACTGAGGAATGGGCTGATCTCAAAATACTTCCAGGAAAAAGTCACCCGTGTGAGAAATTATTACTTGTACATTTTGATGAAACCGTTTGTAAAAACTAGCCCTAAATGGAAAAAAAAACAATGAACAAAAAGAGTTGGGATATTAGTGTCTTGCGATTATAGTGTCTTGGCAGTTATTGATGTAATATCTAATCATCAAATCCAAATAGAGACGCTAACCTTGCCAAACATCAGCCTTCAGCGTTAGAGGTCGGGATAAAAATATTCTGTGGGAGTGACTCCAAGTGAGGTGAAAACATACGTCTCCCCACCCCCCTCGAGATGGCACCCGTGCCAATCCTGAAATCTTCAGGGGAAGCCTGCAGCGCGAGACTCCGCCGCTCCAGGTTTCTCTCTGAGGTCGTTTATTTGTCTTCGACAGGAAAACTGGCTGAAGCTAAAGGAGCTCGAAGCCCGTCCAACCGTCTGCACAGACGGCAGATCTTAACCTTTGTTTGATTTCGTGCGTATCCTCGACAATTTTTTTAGCGTATGTACAGTTTCCTGCTGACCAAAGTTTACCCACCCAAAAGCTTGGGCAGGAATATTGGAAGCTTCAAAACAATTTCAACCCAAGCGACTTCTGGTGTTTTGCATGACCACTCCAGAATGGCAGGCAGAATGTTCAGTTGGTATTACAAAACACAAAATGTTTAGGTAAGCCGAAAAGAGGAATGACGTATGCACACTTAACAACAGACGTCGAACCAAAAGGGTTAGTCGGCTATTAGTTGAGCGACTGCCCTTGATTTGAACAAAAAAATGTGTACAAAGCAAAAATTTGAATTACAAACAATAGAGAGACAATGAAAAATCTACAGTCACTAAATTGAAAGTGCTTACACATCTTTCAACGACGAAAGCATGTGTACAAAAATATATCTTAGCGAACAGTAAAGACTCTGAACTTTAAAAACAAACTCCACCAGCACCCACAGAGCATTTGCTTCTCTGCACCCGTCTCACGTGCAGACCTCAGACGCGATAGTCCAGAGTTCTCTCAAGTTATTAACATTACATGATGAGAACAACATTTATGATACGATTCACACATGCATGTCGTCAAGGCGCGTGTGCCGCAAACAGATCCAAACAAGCAGGAAAGCACATTCCGACTGCACATGTATCGAGGTCAACCCTTGCAAATATGTCACCAGTGAAATTTGATTCCCTACAGATGTTTCTGAAACATCTCTCACCCCAAAAAAATAAATAGATAAATAAATTTAAATATGCTTTCAGGCGAAGTTACAAATAGTAGATCACAGAAACGCAGATCGTTACTTGAAGGCCCCGTAAAAACCATAGCACTATCAGTTAAATATTGCAGCCAATTTTAAATGACAGCTCATTGTGGAAATGGTTGAGCCTCCATCGTTTATGACAAGCAAGCTCATATTCATGAAGAATATTTTGCAGAATATTGCAACAGTCTCATTATGACTGAAAAAAAAAAGACATTTCGGTATTGTCAAATCCCAAGCCACGTTTCACTCTCTCTTCAACCCTTGTAAAAAGAACGGGGTTGAAATCTGCTCTCCCCTCTCTGATATCCAGTATTTTTTTAACCATAAGAGCGCTGGACGAAAATGATCTGTGTCATGTCCGTTTGTTTTAAATCAAATTAGGAGGCGACCTCTGCTGCCCCCTCCCTCTTACCCAGGTGCCGAAATCGTCACGAAGCAATACTTCTTGCGCAGAGAGGTTTTCCTAGAACAAATGTTAATATCATTTCGACACTTTCATGAAAACTAAACTCACTGTTCTTACAAAATGTCTGTTTTTCTGGTCAAGTTACCCCCATGTGAACTTTTCTCTTTGACTTT